AACCAGAACCAGATTGCAGTGCACCCTGCGACCTGGTCAACGTCCCTCCACCTGCTGCCCAAACCTGAACCCGATTGCAGCGCTCCATTGAGAACCAGCCAACGTCCCTCCACCGGGCCTGCCCCGAACCTGAGCCGGACTGTATGCTCCATTGAGACCAGGACAACGTCCTCCTCCTGGCTGTCCAGCTCCCGCGCCTGTCCTCAAAAACCTGGCCGCCCTGCCTCAGGTCCTGGCCCTCAACAACCTGGCCGCCCTGCACCAGGTCCTGGTCCTCCACACCTGGTCGTCCTGCCCCTGGTCCTGGACCTCACAACCTGGCCGTCCTGCCCCAGGTCCTGGTCCTCAACAACCTGGTCGTCCAGCCCCAGGTCCTGGCCCTCAACAACCTGGTCGCCCTGCTCCTGGCCCCGGACCCGACAGCAACCTGGAAGACCTGGACAGAACCACAGTTCCCTTCAGATAAACCCGGTGTTGATATTGCCCCCCTGAGGGAAACGAAGTGTCACCAACAATGGTTATAAGCCACGTCCCAGGAAGTAAACCACAACAGCCAGATTGTTCGGCCCCATTGAGACCGGACAACGTCCACCACCCGGCTGTCCAGCACCAGAACCTGACTGTTCAGCCCCATTGAGACCGCACGTCCACCACCCGGCTGTCCAGCACCAGAACCTGACTGTTCAGCTCCTCTGAGACCAGGTCAACGTCCTCCACCCGGCTGTCCAGCACCAGAACCTGACTGTTCAGCTCCTTTGAGACCAGGTCAACGCCCTCCACCTGGATGCCCTGAGCCAGAACCCGACTGCTCAGCTCCTTTGAGACCCGGTCAACGTCCTCCTCCTGGATGCCCCGAGCCAGACCTGACTGCTCAGCTCCTTTGAGACCAGGTCAACGTCCTCCTCCTGGCTGCCCAGCACCCGAACCTCAAGGACCATCGGGACCACAATATCCCAGAACCATCATCTAGCCAACCCAAACCAAGCTATCCTTCCACCAACCACAACAGCCATCATATCCTGGAAGCCAACACGAAACCTCAACAGCCATCATACCCTGGTCCACAGAAACCATCATACCCCGGTTCACAAACCACCCAACCCCAGCGGCCATCATACCCCGTTCACAACCACCCACCCCAGCGGCCATCATATCCTGGATCACAGACAACACAACCACAGAAGCCTTCATATCCCGCTCTCAAACTACCCGACCTCAACAACCATCCTATCCTGGATCACAGACTACGCGACCCCACAGCCCTCGTACCCTGGCCCACAAAAGCCCTCATATCCAGGAACAGCCCTGGTACCGGTGAGGATTCCGGTTCACTGGGACCCGATGTTACAACTACAATAAACCCAGCAAACCATTCAAGTACTAAGGTCGACCAGTTCTAACCCTAGCTATGTAGAGACATACTCAACCGTACCAATTAAGCGCCAAGTATTACCACAAACGCACAAGGACAGTCCGACAAACTTTGAAAATTGACGAATGAATGAATCAATGCTAACCAAACTCTAGTACCTTGAACTTCCATTACGAAAAACCACATCAAAAACAAATCAAGCCGAATGAAAAAACAACTTTTATTTATGTACAGCCACTGTTTTTTTATATATCTAGACATGTATTTTTGATAAAAGAAAATAAATATAAATAAAAAAATAATTTTCCTAAAATTTTTGAGTTTTTATTTTTGTGTTTAGCTCATCATTGGCATTTTCAAGTTTAGAACTCCAAAGTGGAGGTTTATGTGAAATTCTTGACCTTTTGACCAAAATCGTGTACCACAAGCAACAAGGCAAAGTATGACAGCTGTCAAGAGGCCATTGGCCGTTGTTGTTGTTGTTTATATTTGATGATTTATGGCAATGACGGCCTCAAGTAATAAGGCGGCAACATCCATCTCAGCAACAGCAAAAATATATTTTTTGTGAAAAAATTCAACTTTATGTGCAAAATACACACACACACTAACAAGAATACAAATATTAAAGTTTCAGCTAATAAAAAACAAATATGATGAGAATTTTCGCTTAATTCCATAGTTTATGAGCGATGCTGCGATGTTAGATGTTTGCGTTTACGTTGCGTGTTGGCCCACAACGTTGAGAACGCAGTCCGGCTAGCCCCATGGACACACTGACCACAGCATCTCAACTCACGTAGCAGCAATTTTCAACGAAGCGATCTGTTGAAAAAATATCAGTAGGTCAACGATGATCGTTAACAGCAACGGTCACTGTAATTGGCGATTAGAAGCTTTATATACAGGTTAAGTTATCGTCCAATTTCTGAATGTTTATACCCCCAGACATATGGCTAGAGAGGGAATATATCATTTGACCACAGCCAAAACGTGCTTCATCAAAGTAAATGTTTTAGACCTGGATAACTTTGGACCAAATCCGTTTCAGGACATTTGGAGTCGATCTAGGGATGTCCGTCTGTCTGGCTGGCTGGTGCGAACGATAACTCTACAAGGAAGTATCCGACTTGGTCCAAACTTTGTACATCGTAATCAAACTTAAATCGAGTTCGGAGATGGGCAATATCGGTCCACTCCTCCTGGAAACGTTAACTCCCGCTGAAAGGGAAAGGATAATTCGATTTTGCTCCAACTTTGCAGATCATAATATTGCATCAGCGCTAGGCCAGGTGCGGTAATGGACAATATCAGTCCACTCCATCAAGTACCTCCCCCACAAAGGGTCAAATTTGAAAAATAATAATCCGAGTATTTGGTAATGTCAAAAAAAAAAAAAATCAGTACGAAAAAATGACTCTAAATTTTTTCTGAAAAAATTACTTTTGAATTTTTTTCTTACAAAAGAAAAAAAATTACTCCAATTTTTTTTTCTAAGAATTACTCCGATTTTTTTTAACGAAAAAAATAATTATTCAAATTTGTTTTCTAAACGAAAAAAGTATTCCGAATTGTTTTCTAAACAAAAAAAATCCGATTTATTTCCTATGCAAAAAAAAAAAAAAAAATATTCAGACATTTTTCAAAACGAAAAAAAATACTTCGATTTGTTTTCTAAACGAAAAATACTCCCAATTGTTTTCTAAACGAAAAAAAAATTACTCCGATTTTTTTTATGCTAAAAAAATCACTCCGAATTTTTTCCTATTCCGAAACAAAATCATTCCGATTGTTTTTTTTATTCCTAACAAGAAATCACTCCGAATTTTTTCTATTCAGAAAAAAGGCAAAAAAATACTCCGAAAAGCACTCCAGCATTGAAATGTGAATAAATCTTTTGTGTCTCGTAGCATCGCTCGTTACCGTGATACTGGTCAAGGAAGTGGACGGAAGAACATCATATCAGCAGAAATGGTTCGAAAAGTAAAGAAGCGAATTGATCGAAACCCTCGTCGCAGTGGCCCAAAAATGGCTCGTGAGCTGAACATATCGGAATATTCCATTCGGCAAATATTGAAAAATGAACTCGGGGTAAAGCCATTGAAATTTAAAAAAGTACAAGAATTTACACCGCAACAGAAAGAAAACAAACGGAATGATCGTGTTTACTTGCCAAAGGGTCAGCTGAAAATGTGCACCTTCGGTTGGCCACCCGAACTCAAGCGCCGGCCATGGTGATGGTGTGCCCGCCATAACATCCGATGGTCGCTCTCCGCTCGTATTAATCGACAGTGGCTTCAGAATAAATGCGGATATATTAGAGAAAATATTCTGGAGGGTGTATTAAAGCCTTGGGCACGCAAACATTTTGATCGCAGACCTTGAAAATTCCAACAGGACACAGCACGCGCCACCCAGGAATGGTTACAAAATGAGGTTCCTCGAATGAGGATACCCATCCGTTGGACTATTGTGTCTGAGTATTTTGGAAAGCAAGGTTGGCACTAAAAAATACCAAAGTGTCTATCACCTCAAGCAAGCGCTTTGCGGGAAATGGGCCATAATACCGCAGAGCAACATTCGGGCAGCGTGTGACGGTTTCATTGGCCGTTTGAAGGCCATAATTCGTGCCAAGGTGACCAATTCGAAAAAAAATCTAAACTTATTCTAAAATTTGATGCTATTCCCGATATTTTTTGCTTTCATTCAATAAAATAAAAAAAAAATGTAAAAATTATGGCGTTTGAAATTGTTGCTTTTTTTATCTCACCCTTTATATCTATTGCGAGTCTTAAATACCCAAATTGAAACAATTCCGTGACAAAATGTGGCTAGGATCATTAAAATATCGAATATTGACGTATACCGTTATATGGAGTCCGTGGAAAATATGGACAATTTTTAACACCGGTTTCCGAACCATTATGAACTACAAATATCGAGTTTAAAACAAATTCGATCAAAAATGGGCCCAATAGATAGACCGAATATTTGGAGGTACCTGCTATAGAAAAGCATAGATAATATTACAAACCCTAAATAATCACGAACCCTAAATAATAAATTTAAAAAATGGTCATAACTTCTTTATTGTTGAGTTTTTTCGCTAAAAAATTGTGCAAACTCTTCAATATACCGAATATGGGGAGATACCACTATATAGATAGAAGCCCTTACAAACTCTCAATAAAAACGTGGACCAATACATCTCACTTTCAATACCAACCATCGTAGACACAATACAAAGTATTGAGCAAAATTTCAAAGCTCTTCGTCAAAGTGGATTGTATCCTGATGTAAACAGACTCACATCGGACATATTAATAGACTTAGAATTTTATGCTGATCTTGAATATATATACTTTGTGGGTACCGAATGAATTTTTAGAGGAATGAATGACAAACTCCTTTTATGTTGGAGGGTATAAAAGTTAAATTTATGGTCAATTTTATGAGATTTGAAGAACAAACTACTGAAAATATGATGAATTAGCCTTTCAGTGTCGGATAAGTTCGCCACATAAAAATAACTGTATATTTATACCCTACACCACAAGGTGGTCAGGGTATTATGTCTTTGTGCATTTGTTTGTAACAGGCAAAAGGAAACGATATAGACCCACAGTTCCTTTTGATGATCTGTACAGAATCACATTCTGAGTCGATTTATGCATGTCCGTCCGTCTGTCCATGTATTTTGTAAACAAAGTACAGTTCGCATTTAATGCCCTATCTAGATGAAATCAAATCATTTGTTTGGCCCAAGGACGAACCATATTGAAATTGGAGATAATCGGTCAAATTTAGATATAGCTCCCATATATATCTTCGTCCGATTTGCCTTTTATTGTGCACCAAAGGTGTAATATCAGTCCGAATAGTATGGAATTTTGCACGTACGATCAGATGGGAACTGAAAATAAGTATACCAAATTTGATCGAAATCGGTTAGCTATAGCTCCCATATATATTGTTCATCCGATTTGCTATTTTTTTGTCTCCGCAGCCGTAATTTGCACTCTGTAACAACAATATTTGGGAAAATATATCAAATACAGCTCAGAAATACATTTGCTAAAATTTATCGAGATCGGTTCAGATTTGGATATAGCTCCCTATATAACTTCGTCCGATTTACCTTTGATTGTGTACCAATCGTCTAATATTTGCCCAAATGGGATGGCACTTACGACCGAATTGAGTCTAGAAGCTAGTATGTCAAATTTGGTGAAGATCGGTTCAGATATAGGTATAGTTCCCACATATACTGTTCATCCGATTTGTCATATTTGTTACCCACAGCCGTAATATGCACTCCGTAACAACGATATTCAGGGCAATATATCAATACAGCTCAGAAATATCTTTGCCAAATTTATCGAGATCGTTCCAATTTGGATATAGCTCCCTATATATATATTTATCCGATTTCAAATTTGTGCACCAAATGGTCCTTTGATTGAATTCTCCCATAAAAACTTTTAATTGTTATGCGGTATCACAAAGTCGGCCCCGCCCGACTTCAAGACTTTCTTTACTGGTTTTTTTCTGTATATTATTTAACTGTATTATTTCATGGCATGGCTTTTATATGAATGGTGTCAATGATTGAGGAAATTGTCAACGTATAAGGAAAAACTACCGTTTTTAATAAATATTAATTTTAAATATGTACACCAATAAATGTCAAAAATGGGCAAAAATCCATAAACCTAGTTTTAGTGATTGGTGTTTTGGATAACTAATATGAATTATTGTTTTTATTTTTTGTTAAATTTTCAAAAACAAACTTCCATGCGAAAACGTGTTCCGCATTGTTTACGCTTTGGTATTAATTATCGATTTCATTCACACTTAATGTGGAACTAAATTCGATTCAATTCCATTCGAATCGAATTATTTCGTTTTTGGCGCCACTTAAGATTTGATTGTTGTAATTCAATTGTTAGCATCGTTTTTATTTCACTTCTGCATTATTTCATTGTTGGCTTTGTTGTCATTAAATGGTACTCAATTTTATTTTCTTCT